ATGCCTCTACTTGCATCTATGTCTGTATCTATGACCATGTCTATATCTTTATCTATCTATATATGCATATATATGTAGTCTATGTATCTCTATAAATACAAATACACACATATGGGATATGCAGTTGGATGGGCAACCATTATATAAGTAACAGTCTAGATAGATACATATATAGAAAAATAAACACAAAAATTTCTTTAGGTTGTGTATCCACTATCATAAACTATTCTGGACAATAAGCAATCTTTATCCACTTGTTTTTCTCTGTATATATAGAGAATTAGGCTAAATTTATCTGAGTGTTTAAGGATTTCATTTAGCAGAATTTTGATCACTCTGGGGCTTGGTGAAATCATTACAATGTCACCTCCAAAAAGAGACATCTGGAGAATCTTACCATCTAAAATAATGACTATATTATTATTTCCTAATTAGAAAGTTGAGGTTCAAGGAAGTGACTTGATCAAAGTCACAAACTGACTTAGTAGCAGAGCCAGTCCTTCTTAGTCACATTCTAAAGCTCCCCCCCTTCCCCCTGCCCATAACAGGCTAGGAAATATGAGTATTTCATTGTCCAATTGAGTTTTGGGGGTTGTTCTACTTCAGGGAGGACCAAAGTAGAGGCAGATATGGGGGAACATACAACCTAGTGGGAACAGATTTGTTAGGATATTTGATAGGTAGAGGGTCATTTGATGGAAGTGAGAAACCCATGCACAACTTTTCTAAAACATTCCTAAATGCCTCCTATCAACACTCCTTAGCAAGAATGAAGAACAGAATCTCTGGCCGTAAGCTGTTACTAAGACTGATCCTTCCACCTGTCCTGGAACAGACAATGAGTTGAATTAATCCTCTTTCTCCCACTGTGGCTCAGAGGGCCATGCTCCTTCTCTACCTCTCTGCATTGGTCTTCTTCAAACCCACCCTGGCTGCCCAAGATGAAGAGCAGACACCATCCTGCAATAAAGAAGTTTCAAATGCCTGTGCTCTCATCACATGTGGCCCTGTGGAAAATGGATTGCCTTGAAGAGATGGGAGAGATGGGAAAGACAGTCCCAAGGGAGACAAAGGAGATCCAGGTAGAGAAACATCTACTCACTATGAGACATATATATTCTGCTGTCAAGGTTTCTCTCTCTCTTTTTGTGTTAAGTATCTTAGTTGGATTTTGAAATTAAGAAAAAAAATAATTTCGGAGCTATCAAAAAGGCCTTCCACTTCTCACTGCTCCTGGTAGAGAGCTGATCTTTTAGCAGTCACTCAAGTTCCCTTGGCCTCAGCCTCACCTGAGAAATTGGTTTCCTAGTAGAATAAAGTTGTTTGCCCATCTATAGAGAGAAATATCTTAAAGGTCCTGTCTGAAACCTTCATAAATGGTGAAAGATAAAACTCTGAATTAACCAGAGGAGCAGGGCTAATCATTGAACTAAATGTGAAGAAGTCAAAGATTTCTTACAGGGCCACTTGGCATCTTCTGCACTCTCTTCCCATTGGTACCATTCACTATTCCTATCAGACACCCAAGGAGCCCTGTGCTCTTCTCTCTTAATAAAGCCTGCTCTCAAGAAAGGCATTGACATTGGTCATTTGTACTTTATACACAATGAAGTAAGGATTAGAAGATACAGTTTAAGTCCCAACTCCCATTTTTAACTTATATGATCAAACACAACTCACTTAAACTTTGTGAGCCTATATCCTCAGCTATAGACTAAGGATGATGATAATATTTGAGCTAACTAGCTCACAGTAAGACTGTGAGAAAGGCACTTCCTAAAGAAATGTGAGCTATAAATGTGCATGGTACAGTGGAAGGAGACCTGGCCTAGGAGTTAGGAGGGAAAAGGGAAAAGAGTAAATAAGCATTTATATAGTGCCTATTATGTGCCCGGCACTGTGCTAAGTGATTGACAAATATTATCTCACTTAATCCTCACAATGACCCTGAGCGGTAGGTGCTATTGTTATCATCCCTATTTTATAGCTGAGGAAATTGAGGCAGACAAAGGTAATCTGCTGGGGGTCACATAGTTAATAACTATTTGAGGCTGGATTTGAATTCAGGTTTTCCTGACTCCAGGCCTAGGGCTCTGTCCACTGTGCCATCTACCTGCCTAGATTAGGAAAACCTAATTTCAAATACCACCCTTGACATTTAGAAGCTGATACATCATTTAATCTACCACTACCCAAAAAATTCTCTTGAAATTCAAAGAAGATTCTGATCTGCATTGGTAGACGGTGTATGTTAAATGGCGTTCCATATGTGGATGGAATCATCAATGAAATTACAGATCCAGGAAAAAAAAACCTCACACAACCTCCCTCCCGGGTTATTGGCATTTTAAGTCTCTCACTCTATCGCGAAAAGCCTTGCCTTCTAACTGTTAAAGCAATCTCAGCTATCACTGAGCTGGAGGAAGAAGTGTTTGGGTCAAGGAGGCCTTCCTGGTCTGACATACATGACCACTTCCTTCACTTATGGCTAAGTCTGACCTTCTGTCTGAACAGATATATGCAAACCTGTCCTAGGTAGAGTGGAAAGCCTCTCAGCCTTCCAGACCACAAGTTGCTGACTCAAAGAAGGTCACTTAGGGTGCTTTTCATGCTACCTCCAGAAACCCAGACCTACCTCTCATTAACCAGTCCAGTCCAGAGCCACTCTTATGCAGCCCTGAGGGCCAATGCCTTGAAGGAAGCGTGTCTCAAATATTCATGAATACTGAGTGATAGAAACAGAATTCTTCATCTTCTTCTGATTCAAGACCCTTTCTGTCCCCTTTTGCCAGTAATCTTAGGGTCAGCCCTCCTTTAGACCTCACCTCCTCCACGCCTTCCTTGACCAGCCAGCACTTAGGGATATGCCTACCCCTCTGAACTAATAGCATGAACTGTCTACCCCTTTCCTTTAGCACTGCTTTGGTGAAACTTTTTGCTTTGTACTGATGCTTAGAGAGGGAATCAGGTGTTATGGAATGAGCATTGCTTGAGAAACTGGAAACTTGGGTTCAAAAATCCCACTTTATCATGTAATACCTGTGTGACCTTAGGAGAGTAACCTAATTTCTCTGTGCCTCAGTTTCCTCATTCATAAAAAAGATAGATTTGGGTGGATGATAGGTAAGTTCCATTTCCTATGATCACAGCTATGTTATCTTACAATTCCAAAGTTACACTGGAAGAGACCTCAGAGCTCTCCTGGTCCTACCTCTGTGTTTTAGAAATGAACAAACTGAGAGTGCCTGCCAAAGGTCACACAGGCATTGATTGGCAGAAAAGGGATCGGAAGCCAGGTCTTCCAATTCCCAAATCTGGCACTTCCCCCGCCACATCGGCTGTATTTGCTCATATACACAAAGGTCCTATACGTTTCTGGGTTGTTGAGGCCATGTGTGAATGTCTATGATGATTACAATGCTCTGCATACACTTGGTGGTTAAGAAAAACATTTTGAATAATGGCATGCTTTAGCAGCACTTCTTAGCTGCTATTTCTATTAGAAGTGTGTTTGCATCAGGAAAAGGGAGACAAAAGCTCACCTGGCATGACAGGCTCTTAGCCAACATATCCTACAAAAGAGTTTCTCTTGCCTTTACACTGGCTCTGATTAAAAAGAAAACACACACACACAAAACCTGTTTCTTTTTTCTTCTTCTTCCTTTTTTTTTGGGGGGGGAACAGGATTGCCAGGGACCTAGAGGCCCACCAGGGTTAACTGGAGAAACTGGTCCTATCAGACCCAAAGGGGACCAAGGTTCCCCTGGGGATCCAGGCCCAAAGGGAGATCTTGGAGGAAAAGGTGAATGCCAGGACGGGAGGAAGCTTTGGTATAACTTCTTTAATGATGTATTTGAAGTCACAAGACCTAAGTTCAACTCCTGATTCTAGCACTAATTAACTCTGTAAGCAAAGGCATATCACTTCACCTTTTCAACTCAGACCTCGTTTCCTCCTCTATAAATGGAGACGTTTACATTAGATGTTATCAAAGGGCCCCCTCTGTCCTCCCCTGCCTTATCTCCTCAATATCCATTCTGCTTCGGGCCATCCCCCTCACGGTCTTTGAAGCCCTGTCATTCTGCAGAACACACTTTTAATATTTTCCAGGGGAGGAGCTCTCTAACTCAGACTGATATGTAAATGACCACTGAATATATTCACAGCTCAAAAACATATCGCCATTATTCTTAAGTCCTATGTTGCTCCCTTTCTCTATAGCTTCATGTTTCTAGGGGTCAAAGAAATGATATCTTCTTAAGCCTCCAAAACATATCTCAGTCAGACAACCTGAAAGGACCTATGATGAAAAATGCTGTCTGCCTCCAGAGAAAGAGCTGATGGCATCTGAATATAGACCGAAGCACACTATTTTTCACTTCCTTCCTTTTTCTTCTTTTTTCCTTCCTTCTTTTGTCCATTCCTTCCTTCCTTTTTCTTTCTTTCTTATATCTTTTTTTCTCTTTCTTTTTCTCTTTCTGTCTTTCTTTCTTTCTTTCTTTCTTTCTTTCTTTCTTTCTTTCTTTCTTTCTTTCTTTCTCTCTCTCTCTCTTTCTTTCTTTCTTTCTCTCTCTCTTTCCTTCTTCCTTCCTTCCTTCCTTCCTTCCTTCCTTCCTTCCTTCCTTCCTTCCTTCCTTCCTTCCTTCCTTCCTTTTTAATTTCTTTTTTGAGTTTTCTTCCACAAAATGAATAAAATGGAAATATGTTTTACGTGATTGCACATCTAAAACCTATAAAAGATTGCTTACCATCTCAGGGAAGAGTGAGGAAAAGAAGGAAAAGATAGAATTTGGAACTCAAAATTTAAAAAGATATGAATGTTAAAAATTATTTTTACATGTAATGGGGGAATAAAATATTATTATAAAAAAATGTGTCTTGGTTGCCAGACCCATGTAGTCTCATTGTGACTTATTACTATTTTCTTCCTCTCTCTCCTCCAGCACCTAGACACTATCTCTAGCTAATATCAACATTTCTTGATGGCAGGCCTGCACAACATGCTGCCCATGGGCCATATTTACATCCTCTACATTTTTTGCGGGCCCCCTGAAATCCTTTGCTGGGCCACAATCAGTGCGTGGGCTGTAAGTGGCATGATGGTCATATGTTGTGTGGGCCTGCTTTATGAGTTCACTCTCCCCCTGCCCATTTCTCTATCCTCTTTCACTCGAGCATCTGAGTTCAGTTATTCAAATTATCCAAGGCTGCTTTCTGATACAACTAGAAAATGGAAGGGGTAGGAGGACACAGCAGGGAACATAACACCAGATCCTCCTAATTTGGATGGCCACATGCTGAGGAGAAAGATTGGTAATGTCTGCTATACATGGAGAAATAGATATGCATACATATATAGATATACACATGTACATATACATATACATACATATACACACACATATATGCTTATATCTATACCTGCACACATACTCACATACATATATATGAGAATTGAGTGGAATGAATCATTTTCCTACCACCCTAGAATCCTAGAACTATGGGATATTAATCATATATTTTAGCACTTGGGATACTTATGACTATGTAGGCACACTTGGGTGTATGGGCAGCTAGGTGATGCAATGGATAGGGCACTAGGCTTGGAATCAGGAAGATTCATCTTCATGAGTTCAAATCCTGTCTCAGACACTTACTAGCTATGTCATCCTGGGCAAGTCTCTTAACCTCTGTTTCCTCAGTTTCCTCATCTGTAAAATGATCTAGAGAAGGAAATGGCAAACTACTCCAGTATCTTTGCCAAGAGAACCTCAAAGGGGATCACAAAGAGTAGGGAATGACTGAAACAATACAACAACAAAAGGTACACACACACACACACACACACACACACACACACACACACACACACACCAGAAAGGAGGAAGTAAAAGCGGTAATACCAGGAAGTTATTTGTGTATGTGTTTATTCCCTCTAGCAGAATATAAGCTTCCTGAGGGCAAGGACTGTTTTGGTTTTGTCTTTCTAAGATATCATCAGCATCTTACAAGTTGTGGGTAAATATTGGTCAATTTAATTAAATTGAATCTGAACTGGAAATGCCTATCAGTGAAACTTACTCATGTGAAATGCTGTTGATGTCCCCTATATCATTCCTTAAATGTTGCCGTCTACCCTACTTCCTAGCTCCAGTTGGGAACAAAATGATGGACCTAAAAGGAATGAGTACAGATCATCTTAACTGTTCTTCCCTCAGAATTCCTTGGAGCTCCAGGTTTGTCTGGTCCTTTTAGAATCAGGGGTTCACCTGGATCCCAAGGGGTCAAAGGACCCCAAGGTGAACAGGGACCCAAGGGAGAAGATGGAGCCAAAGGCAAGTGGTGCAGCTGGGCTGGAGAAGTATTGACATTTATTCCGTGATGTTCCTCTCAGGGGAGATAACAGTGACCAGAAGTCATCTCAAATATTTGGTGGTGAAAAAAGATCAGGACTAGAAATACAACAATCCACCTCTGCCATTAATTAGTGCATCATTTCATATTGACCCCTAGAAGTCTCGGTTTTCTCATCTGAAAAGGAGAGAATTAGAACAGATGGCCTGTAAAGTCCTTCTTCAGGTCTATGAATCTAATATATGAGTCGCTTTGTTGTCAAGGGATTTGGCAACTAAGCTTGCTTTTGTTCTTCAGTGATTCTACCCTACAGAAACGAAAGTTGCCATCATCTTTTTAAATTGTCTGCCCATGACCTGAAGGGCATAACTGTCACTTCTCAGTCTTCCTTCATTCATTCCAGCAACATTTATGGAGTGCCTACTGTATTCCCTGACCTTTACCAGATTTTGCCAGGAAATCCCACAATAATCCAGCATGGTGCAGTGGACCTGGGTTCAAATCCTAATTTTGACTTTGCTATTTGTGTGATGCTGAGCAAGACACATCACTTCTCTGTGAACCCCAGTGCCATCATCTAGAAAATGAAGGCGTTGGACTAGATAAATGACATCTCATGTCCCTTTCAGCTCTAACTCCCCAATCCTGTTATCATATTTCAGAATACAAGAGAATTATCAGACGCTGTCCCTGCAGTTAAGGAAATTACAGTGTGGTTGGAAAAACACCACCAACACACACACACACACACACACACACGATAGAAGTTCAAAGACGTATTAGAATCAAGTATGAACTTTAGCCAAAGAATAGAAAGGGATCAATATAAAGAATGATCAATAAGGCAAAGCTTCTAGGAGAGGGATAGCTTTAGAATTGGAAGGGATCTCACAGGCCATCTAGTCCATTCCAGTCCCCCACACCCACCCATTTTATAGATGGGCTAACTGACACCCAGAGAGTAGAAGTACATACCAGGGGTAAGTAAAACTGCTTAAATTTAACTCCAGATTCTGCGATAAAAGATTAAGCTCTTTCTCTACTACATGACCATCATCATGGTTGGATAGCTCCTATTGTCCCTCATTTTCCTGCATCCCACTGAAGGGCAGATTCAGCATCAGGCTCCAATCTGGGTTCAAGAATTCAAGCCCTCCCTCTGCCAATACTAGCTGCCACCCTTGACAAATCATTGACATTTGCAGGATTCTCTTAGTGGCCTTTAAGACTTTAAGCTTCAGAGCAGGTGCTTGTCTGCTTTCACAGAGGGAATTTCCTCACTGGGATTTCTTTACGACAGTGACATCACTGGTCTGGTACAAAAATTTTTTTTTCACAGCTGTCATGTCTTTTTTCTAATAGCACGATCTGGTTTACCATGCACTTGATACACAAAAACGTCCTTGCCTTCTCCACCTTTCAAGATTCCACCTAACAAGTAAACCCTGCCTATACTAATCTTTCTATTCCCTAATCCATAATTTCCAGCCAAGATGAGCAATTTTAACATGTGTTTTTAGACAGTAGCCCTGTATTGTTCTTTCTGTTTTTTCCATATGTCCACTGGCATAATGAAGGTAGGGCACATAGGGCTTTTCTGACGATGCAGAATTTATCAGTTTCTGAGTAGTTCAGACATAGTAATTTAACCCTACCAAGTGCTTTTTTTTTTTAGTAGTTCAGTCATAGTTCTTCAGTAGTGCAGAAATAATAGAGCTTAGCACCTAGTAATCTAATAAAAATAGGAAGTTAGCTCATGGTTCCTCTGGAGCGATCACCTCTCCTGAGCCATGCTTATTCCATTCCTCCCTGCATATACTCCCCCCCAAAAATGGAGGATGCCTTTCATGTCATTGGCCTGGGATATGGCTTGGGCACTTGTGCCCCAGGTGCAAAAATTTGCCTCTATGTCTGTCTCTTCTCCCCTATGAGGCAAAAAGCTCCTTGATTAAGAGAACAGTGTCAGCATTGTACATTGGAAAGAGTTAGAGGATCTGGGTTCAAGTCCTACCTTTAACCCTTCCTACCTTTTTTACTTTGGGCAAGTCAATATCATTGGGCCTTAGTTTCCTCATCTGTAAAATGAAGGGGGTGAGACTAGATGATCTCTGAGGTCCCTTCTACCTCTGAATCTATGGTGTTATAGCCCAATGAATTGTCTTCTCTTTCTTTCATATTCCATGTCCATGGAATAAAGGACTGGGTATATAGTCAATGACTACTTGTGAACTGGTTGATTGAATCTGACCCAAAATCATTTGTGGGCTAAGCAGACTTGGGACCCCCCTGGCAGCCTCGTGCTGGAAATTCCCTGCCTCCATACAGAGGAGACACAGAATAATGCAAATGTAACCTTATTGTTCACTAACAGCCCATTTCCAGAGAAATGTTCAAAGCACATTCTGGATGTACATTGCCATCAATTAAAAAAGAAGAGACAAGAAAAAGCAAGGACCAAAACATTCCTTAGAGATTTTTTTTTTTGCTTTTTTTTGGCGAGGCAATCAGAGTTAAGTGACTTGCCCAGGGTCATGCAGCTAGTAAGTGTCATGTGTCTGAGACTGGATTTGAACTTAGGTCCTCCTGATTCCAAGGCCAGAGCTCTATCCACTGTGCCACCTAGCTGCCCCCTAAGTGATTTTTGTTCCACCCTCTGGAGAAGCAGGAACATTAGGTACACTAGGTCCACCCCTCCAGCCCAATAGCCACCCTCTTTCCTCCAGGCTGCCAATACTGGGGGTATTTCTCTCCCATAGGAAGAGAAAGGAGAATCAGAAGACAAGGACTTCCTGGAAATCCTCGAGCAGGACCCAAGATTCTCCAAAAGTCACCTGTCTTCAGGTTCCCCAAACTCTGAAGTCTCTTTTGTGTAACATTTAAGTCAGACCCACACCTTCTTATGCTGAAGGGTCAAGGGAGCTTGGAGACTCAAGGTATCCATTGCGTAGACAGGAGGCAGAATAGTCTGCTAACAGCCAGTCCTATAAATTGACTCTTTCTTGGTCTCTTTCTTGTCGTTCAACATTAAGGCCTCCTGGAAGCCCTGGTCCTGCAGGCATCAGAGGGCCAAGAGGCCCACCTGGGCCAAAAGGAGATAGACAATCACCTGGGGAGGAAGGAGAAAGTTTCCTGGAAGGTAAGTCAGGCAACCCTCAGGGGCCCCCTGTCTGTCTTTGGCATGTTTCAGCTTTAGAACCCGGTGACGCCCCTATTTTCTGGATTTGTAGAGAATGGGTGAGCAGTACTAGGAGATATCAAACCCAGACCATCAAAGGTCACTCTAGATGGGAGATCCATAGTTCTTTCCAGCTGGAAGGTGATGAAGGAACTGTACAAAGACAGACATAACAAACTTTCCTAACATTCAAGTTAATGAAGCTAACCTTTCATACGACAAGGCAGTCATCACTATGTATAACGTATTGCCAGACAAGCGTCCATTCAAAGGACTTAAGATTATATTAATTTTAAAATTTCATATTAATTTATGGAACAAAACAAAACAAGCATTTACACAACAGTACAATAAAAAAGATGATTGCATATGAAACTGCACATCTACTATGCACAACCTGCTATTCCTTCCAAATATGCAACAAAATTATCATGTAAATTTCTTTTTGTTCTTCTTCCCACCAAGATCATATTTAGAACACATATGTATCATGCTAACATCAAAGATGCAGGACAGGTGAATCTGCAAATAATTAGCACTAAAAATTAGGAACCAACACCAACTGACCAAGCCATCCAATTCCTCATAGCACTATTGAATAATTCTATTTCTCTCTCTTTCTTCCACCCTTGCTAAAGGAAAAGGAAGATTAAAAAAATTCTCTAAGAATGCTGAAGAATTTTAATGAAGTAGGAGGTTAGGGTTACAGTTTATCTTCCTTCCCTACCCCTTCCTTGACAAAAGCAGGACCTTAAGAACTTTACTACTTTCTTTTTCTAATTTTTTTTACTAACTTTTTTTTTTCTGTGTTAAATTCATTGCAATTTTCTGTTTGTAGAGGAAATCTAGAGAGCCTGGAAATTTCTAATCTACTCCACCATCTTTCCAGAATGAAGTCTCTGTTCATTTATTTTTGAGATGATGGAAGCTTGGATAATAAGAGCTTTCCTTTGTGTCCCTTACAGCATCCTAAAGCTGCTTTTCCTCAGTGTCTCTAGTTTGTTCTCAACTCCCAATGCAGACACTCCTACTAATCCCTACTCTTCTGGTGATGCCTCTAGGATGGGTGTGAATAACAGCAAGGACTATTGGCTGGACTAAAGAATTTGTGAAGAGGACTAATGTGTGATAAGGTTGGAAAGGTATATGAGATCCAGGTCGTGAAGGGTGGTAAGTGACAGAAAAGTTTACATTTGGTCCTACAGGTAAGTAGGAAGATATTGGATTTTATTGATTAGGGAAGTGACAAGATCAGATGTGGGTGCCTTAGGAAAATCATTTTGGATTAGAGAGAAAAGAGACTTGATACATGAAGACCGAGTAGGATGCTGTTGCAATAGTCTAGCAAGTAGATGCTGAGGGGCTGAAATTGTTGGTGATGAGAGTACAGGGGACGGAACAGATACAAAAGATCCTCTGGTGGTAGGATCAATGAGATTTGGCAAACAGTTGGATATGGAGAGGGAGGGAGAATAAGGAGTTGAGGATGACTTAAAGACTACAAACCTGGGAGAAGGGAAGGGTGGTGATGCTTTTGTGGAATCCTTCCTCTGCTTGGACTTTGCACAGTTCACTCTGCCATGTACTTCCATAGAGCATGTCTCTTATTTATGCCTTGATTCATGATTCTTTGAGGATTGTTAAAGAAAGCTTATGGGCAGCTAGGTGGTGCAGAGGATAGGGTGCCAGGCTTGGAGTCAGGAAGACTCACCGAGTTCAAATCTGGGTTCAGACACTTACTAGCTGTGTGACCCTGGGCAAGTCACTTAACCTGGGTTTGCCTCAGTTTCCTCATTTGTAAAATGAGCTGGAGAAGGAAATGGCAAACCATTCTAACATCTTTGCCAAAAAAAAAACCCCAAAGGGGTCATGAAGAGTTGGACACAACTTAATAACAACAACACAAAAAATAAATTTATCTTTGTGGAAGTATCTATCATGGAAACTTTATGATCTTTTTTTTTTCTTTTTTGGTGAGGCAATTGGGGTTAAGTGACTTGCCCAGAGTCACATAGCTAGTAAGTGTTATGTGTCTGAGGTCAGATTTGAACTCAGGTCTTCCTGACTCCAGGGCCAGTACTCTAACCATTGCCCCTTATATGATCTTAATATGCATGCAAGAGACACTTTGTAAAACGATAGACTTGAAGGTTACATTTTGCTCTGTTGAGTCATATGTCTTGGATTTTTAAAAAACTCAGTAAACATAGCAGGATCTTCTATATTGGGTATATAGAATCTATACTTGTATACTGTGTACCTCACAGTCAATCTTATGACCATGGAAATGTGGTCTGCTATTGAGTCATTCATTTGTAGACACATACCTCTTCCCTTCTCATGGTTTCTTTTTCATTCTTTCTTTCTTCTTTCCTCCTCCTCCTCCTCCTCCTCCTCCTCCTCCTCCTCCTCCTCCTCCTCCTTTCTTCTTCTTCTTCTTCTTCTTTTCTTCTTCTTCTTCTTCTTCTTCTTCTTCTTCTTCTTCTTCTTCTTCTTCTTCTTCTTCTTCTTCTTCTTCTTCCTCTTCTTTTTTAGAGGCAATTGGGGTTAAGCGACTTGCCCAGTACCACACAGCTAATGCCTTCTCATATTTTCATCAATATGTACATATATCAAGTATTCTCATAAATATTTTCTAGAGATGAAAGCATGAGTATATTGCTCAGTCATTGCTGATGCCTTCTCAGTTTGTACATGTGTATTTGTTTTGAATTATAACTTCTGTTCTTTAGATATCATCCTTTTTTTAAGCAACTTCTAAATCACTTGTTATCTCTAGCACATAATGCTTCTCGGTGTCTTTGGTCTGGTCCAGATGTTTTCACCCCTCATCATCAAGGGCCGTTGCCATTGTCTCATATAACACAACACTTCAGGGTGGTGTTAGAGTCCAGATGTGGCAGATGAGAATAGATCATTAAAGAAATGTTAGCAAATCTGTTTCTTTCTATTCTACTTCTCACTGTCCCTCACTCCTCATTTCCAATTGGGTGCTAACTCTTGTCATATCTGATAACACCATATCTCTTGCATCCATCTTCTTCTCTGTGCTTATATGGCCAGCACATTGGTACAGGCCCCATCACCTCTTACCTGGACTATGGCAGTAACTTTCTGATTGCACTCCCTCATTTCTCCTCACTACAAGCCATCCTTCCCACAGATGCTAAAGTAAATGACTCCCCTGCTCAGTAAACTCTAATGAATCTCTTTTATCTCTAGGATCAAATCTAAATGTCTCAGTTTGGCATTTAATACCCTATGGTCTGATTTCAACTTATCTTTCTAAATTTATTACATATTACTTGCTTTCATATATTCTACAGTAGAGGCAAACTGTAGAATGCCAAACTGGCCCAAAAATCAGCTCCTCGAAAATGACATCTCATCTTCAATCTCTGCCTTTGCAGGTATGGAATGCACTCTCTTCTTGTTTCTACCCCAAATCCAAGTTTGTTTATTTTGTATATTTTTGGTATCTATATATTAGGTATATGTTATCTCTTCCCCTTAGACAGGCAGTCAGCTGGCAAACATTTATAAAGTGCTTAAGTGTGCTAAGTACTCTGATACAAATACAAGCAATAAGAGACACAGTTCCTGCCTCAAGATGCTTACATTCTAATGTGGGAAAAAAAAAAAACACATGAAAGGAAGGAGAGGAAGTTATTGGCTCGGGGACATAGAGGTAAAGTCTAGAATCATAAGCACAGATGGCAGGGGAATGAAGTATGGCCAGCCTGGATGTGTCCACAAAATGGAGGTCCCCAGAAAGAACCCACCAATGGCAGAAGGAGGCTGGCGGTTTCAGGATAAGAAGACTCTAGATCAGGGGTGCAGAACCTGCGGCCTTAAAGCCACATATGGCCTTCTAAATCCTTAAGCGAGGCCTTTTGATCGAATCCATTTAGAAGGCCACATGTGGCCTTAAGGCAGCAGGTTCCCCAACCCTGCCCCTGGGTGATGAGGGAAGTTATAGGGTGAGAAGGTAACTGATGATAACATCCAGAGAGAGTCAGAGATAACATCTGAAAGGGGAATAGGATGGTAAAATCCTTGAAGGTGGGGACTGCTTCATTTCTGTCTTTGTCTCATATGCACCCAGGGCAGTGTCTAACACATAGTATATGCTTAAGGAATGTTTGTTGACTGATTCAAATGGTTTGTTGTCATCCTCTCAACTTCATTAATAAGTGCTTTTAAAGCCCAGGTCTGTCGATATGGATCCCAGACTCAAACAACTTCAAAAGTCACTACTGACTCTAGGATTAGCTATGAATTTCTCAGCTTGGCGTTTAAGGACCTGTATGGTCTGGTTCCAATCTACCCCTTGCAGACTTTTTCACATTATTCCCCTTCATGTACTCTATATTCCAGTCGAACTGACCTACTCACTATTCTCTGTACAAATCATTTCTTCTCCAGCCTCTCCATGCCCTTGAATAAGCTGCTTTCCATGCCTGGAATGTACTCTTCCTTTTCTCCACCTCTTAGAATTCTTATTTTTTTTTTTCCATGTGAAACATACTTATTTAGGAGGACCTGAGAAATCCCTGCTTCCCCTAGTTATAAGTGCCCTCTCCCTCTTCAAATTCTAATCTATTTATTCATTCTTTTCATGTTAAATCCCTAAGTGGAATGAAAGTTATTTGAAGGCAGGCATTTTTTTTTTGCCCCCTTTGGCACAGTGGGTACAATGCCAGGCCTGGAGTCAGGAAGATTCTTTCTGGCCTCAGACACTTACTAGCTCTGTGACCCTGGGCAAGTCACTTAACCCTGTTTGCTTCAGTTCCTCATCTGTACAATGAGTTGGAGAAGGAAAATGGCAAACCACTCCAGTATCTTTGCCAAGGAAGCCCCAAATGGGGTCACAAAGAGTCAGACACAACTGAAACGACTGAAGAAAAACAATAATAACAACAATCCCCCCTGACCACATTAGACACTTTACGAACGCTTGTTGAATTGAAAAGCTTATGGAATCCGGCCTGTCTGCACCTGACAGCATGCCTTCCCCTGGCTCCCCTTCCCCCTCCACTGCTCTTTCCTGTTATATAAGGTGATGCAGCTAGTAATCTGCCATCTTCCTCCTCCATAATGTTTGTTTGTAAGTGAATTCATTCAGTGCTCTAAACAGATGTTGCCCTTGGTTTTTCCTCCTTGGCAAGGGGATTAAATACTTGCTGCCTGGGGCAATTTCTGGGGTCTCTTGCCCCCCCCTTTGGAATAGATACGGATTTAGAGTTTAAAGATTCTTGAAAATAGCAGTAATTAGAGCTAATGTTTGTAATTTTACCCATTTTCCATTTTTTTCGGAGTCAAAAGCTTATTTGAATGAAAGGGGTTGGAATTCCTATAATGGCTTGACCTGTTTCTCTCACTTTTATACTTTCTCCTAATTTGGTATTGATTTTGACTTTCAATCTCCATAGGTTGGTTGTCATTTCTGTCAAGCTATATGTTCCTTCTCTATATGTTCTCAGGTACACCCAGAAGCTTCTTACTCTCTTCTAGAAGACAGTATTTATTAGTGAAAAACAGGTTTCTCAGTATTTATTTCTTGATCTTGAACCATATTTTCTGTCCCATTTTTCACTATGGTACTCCTCCCTCCTTACCCCCAAGCCCAACTAGCCTTGAAGTTACTAAGGTGTCTATAAGCTAGTATAGAGGATCTGGTGAAGTTCTTCATGGACTTTCTCCTTTTCCTTATCACCTACAAGAGATACTAATGCATACACTTATTTTCATGTTGGTCTGTCTTCTTACACTAAAAATGAGCACTTTGTGGCAGGGCGACCAAATATCCCCCAAAAGGGTGGTTAAGCAAATGATCAAACCGACCAATCAATCAATGAGCATTTTTAAGCCCTACTGTGTACCAAGCCCAGTGCTTGATGCTAGGGATATGAAGACTAACATGAAAGAGTCCCAGCCCTCAAAGAGCTTGCCTTCTGTAGAAGAAACAAGATTTAACTACCAACCCATTTATTTCCCTCTCTAAAGAGAACCTGTGAGCTATCCTTCTACTAAGATACGACTTCTTATTTTCTCCTCATTCCATTTACAATAAGAATGGCAACGTTGATGTGGTACTTTTCCCCTAATTTTTCAGTTGGCAAACAAAGCTTTCAAATTAAGAGTATCAATAGTTAAATCGATGGTCTTAAAAAGTTGTCTATTTCTCTGCTTTCTCTTAAAAGCGTAAGTATTCCCTTTCTCATTACTACACAATTGTTGCTTGGAAGTGTAAGCTCACTTTCATTTACAGGACAAGGAACCATTTAAAGGATAAAGGACCACTTTGTATTGTGGTCCATTACCAAAGAATCCATCACCTCATAGCCACCATTCTGATGATGGTCTCTGAATTTAGCCAGGCTGATCTTCTGAAAGTAAACAAGGCCATTGGGCTTGCAATCCAAGCATTTCAGCTCTGGAAAACCTGCCAGGGCTTTTGCTTCATGTTGAAAACCCAGGGTCACATCTATGCCATGACAGGGCCGATGAGTAGGATGCTTATGGTGAAAAGCACAATGTTAAAATGATAGAAATATACAGCTGAATAGAAACTTAGAGGGTAAGAGCCTAAGCCCCTCTTCAACTCTCAATCTGTGATCCTACGAGCTAATCCAATTCCAATCCCCAATTAAAGATAAAGAAACTGAGGACCAGAGAGGGTAGACAACTTGCTGAAAAGATCACAGCTAGTTTGTGACAGAGCTGAGTTTAGAAACCAGGTCTCCTGACTCCTAGATCTGGGGATTACTAGAGGTATTATTATTCCCACTGAAAAGATCTAGAAACTGAGGCTGAAGGTAGGATTTGAGTTCTCAGATCTCTTTAACAACAAGTCCAGTGTTCTTCCAAAATGAGTTGTTTGAGATTTGTTGAATAGGAAAGGCCAAGGGGATTTCCAGACTTAAATGCCCAGTGGCAGTTGTTGGTATTTGAATGGAAATCAAGAAAGAATGTTTTCCATCCCTGAAAAATCCTCAATAGGACCTCATTGTACTCATAGCAAGTTTGTTCTCTGGTCTATATAGTCCCAAAGTTAGTTGTCCTATAAGAAAACTAATACTTAACTTCCTTCAACTAAACCCTCACAGTCTTTATATTCAAGGCAGGTTGATTGTCTGTCTAGCCCTAGCACTGGGTCTTGCTATAGGGCACAGCTCCAAACTTTTTGATGATGTACCTCATAAGTAAAAAGAATTTTTGCCTATCTGTTCCCAGTAAATATATATCTACTTATTTACAAATTAGATACATCTACTATGATACTAATAAATATGGATATTAAAAAAAACAACAACTCTTAAGGGGCAGCTAGGATACAGCACTGGCCCTGGAGTCAGGAAGACCTGAGTTCAAATCTGACACCTCAGGCAAATAATACTCACTAGCTGTGTGACTCTGGGCAAGTCACTTAACCCCAACTGCCACACACACACACACACACACACACACACACACACACACACACACTTTAAAAAACCAGAAATTAAAAGAAAATGAGATAATATTTAATCATGGAGTCAAGAAGGAGCCAATAGAGTTATTGAGTAGGAAAGCAAACTGGTTAGACCTGTACTTTAGGAAAATCACTTTGGCAGATGTGTGAAGGATGGATTGGGATGAGGAAAGACTAGAAAAAGGGAGCTCAGTCAGGCAGCTACTACAATAGTACAAGTGAAAGGTAATGAGGCCCAGAACTAGGAGACACATACAAGAGATGTTGTAGAGGTAGAAGGGCCTTAGGGAAGAGACCTTGGCAGCTACCATGTCCAGTTGCCTCCTTTTCACAGGGGAGGAAACTGCACAGAGAGGTTAAGTGACTTACCCAGCTTATACAGCTTATGTGTTAGAGACAGGATTCAAACGCAGTTCTTCCTAACTCCAAGTTCCAGTGCTCTATGCTGTTACTCTGAGGATGACTTTGAGTGGCAAAGTAATGGCAATCACAACCCATCCTTGACCACGTGGTGACTAAAATGCTTTAAAATGTTCCATGGCCAAATGATTTTGGACAATGCCCAATCAAATGTCTTCACAACTAATCTCACTGCACCTTGTGGAGAAGTCAATAAATTCTCATTTCTTCAGACAAATTTAGGCTGCTGAGTGGGAAGTGATTGAAACTCAGTCTTAGGCTAACAGGGGTGGGGAACCTGCCACCTTGAGATCACATGTGGCTGTCTAGGCCCTTGGGTGGGGGCTTTTGACTGAGTCCAAGTTTTACAGAACAAATCCTTTTATTGGGGATTTATTCTAAGTTTGGATTCAATCAAAGGGCTGTACTTGAGACCCCAAGTTCCCCACCCCTGGCTAGGGCTTCTTAGCCCTTAGGCTCTCATGGAAAATTGCATGACAGGGCAGCTAAGTGGTGCAGTGGACAGAGTGGAGGGCCTGGAGTCAGGATGACCTAAGTTCAAATTCAGCCTCAGACACTAACTAGCTGTGTGAACCTGGGCAAGTCGCTTAACCTTGATTACCTCTCCCCTCCTCAGCAAAAAAAAAAAGCACTGTCCTCTTACTCACTATGGCTCGTGAGTCTTTTAGGCAGGATGGGACAGGAGGGATAGAAAACCTCCTAAGCAGAGCAACAGCTGCCAGTCTTTATCCTAGGCACCTCTTACTTACTGCTAGCTCCCTGAGTGTCTTCAAGGACTTTCCTCTCTCACTCCTGAAAGCCTTGGGTATTAATCCAATCCTATGCCAGGCTGAGGATCTTTCAAAACCTCTCTCTCTTCATGCAGAAATCAACAAGTTGAAGCAAGAAGTGGCTGAATTGTGCACAAAAATTGAGGACCTCCAGAAAAGCTTCTCCAAGCAACAGAAAGGTAAATACTTTGGAGCTGAGGCTGGGGCAAGGTCTCCTTTCTGTCCCAGCCTCTTCCTTTGTTCTCTGGACATACTTGTTTTTGCTGACTCTTCTGAAGCTGGTTTCTTGCTTTTCAAACCTCATTCTTGATACCTGGGCTGCTTTCCTGCCTAGTGATTACGAGAGGATGTTAATAAATCCATTTGAAGTGAGTGGAAAATTCTGCCAAGGAAAGGGAAGGAGAAAGGCATGTGGGATTCTAGGCCTGGAGCTGGAAGGGATGTTGGAGATTACCTAGTCCAACTCCTGATTTTAAAGATAAAGAAAACCAGACCCAAACAGCTTAAGGGATTCACCCAAGATCAACAGGGAGTTAAGTGGAAGCACTAGAACACAAACCCAGTCCTCTGCCTCCACCTAGAGCATTATCTCTCCATTGCACCCCCTGCCTTAACACTAAGGGTCTCAGAGAACCTTTCTGATTTCATTTTTCCTAAGGGCATGGGTTGACAGTAAGACTTCGTATCTTCTCTTAGTAACCCAAATTTATGGATTCAGGGAAAGAAATAGCTTCAAATGAGGTTAAATACGGTAAAGGGAAGAGTCCTTCAACATGGAATTATGTAAATGCTCTAGGATGCCTAAGTGACAAGGCATCCAGGCTTATACACAAAAATGGAGTTCATGAGCTACCCAGGGCAGATGAGAGCAGCTTGGTCTTAGCAAGTGGTACAGTGCTGGAGGCTTGCTTTAGCACCATAGTCTGGGCCACTCATTCTTCCATGGGCTGTTCCCCAACATAAAGGCTTACAGAGCTGCAGCTGGGCCTTATGGATAGAGAACTTTATCTTTGGGGCCAAGCTGTCTGGAAGCCAGAGTGATGATGGAGCATTGCATCCTTCTGTTGTTACTTTGGGATTCTCATCTACCACCACAGAAAAGGCAAAAAGACCAAAGAGATGTTAATTCCGACAATGTCTCAGGTCACAACTACTTCAGTCTGGAGAGACTTTTAGATGATTCTAGAAGCTCTCCAGGTCTCCCCTCAATCTTTGTCCAATCCTCTTTTTATGGTAATTATTTGGGAAAAGCTAGTTGAGTCAAAAAAAAATTTTAATGTGTAAGGTAGCTAAATGGCTACAGGTGACTAAGTTGAAGCTGGGGGAAAATGCTGGTTTAGAATCAGAGACCTGGGTTTGAGTCTCAGTTCTGCCATTTACTAGCTAGGTGACTTTTTTGTTGTTAAGTCATTTTCAGTCATGTCAGACTCTTCATGATCTCATTTGGGGTTTTCTTGGCAAAGATACTAGAGTGGTTTGTCATTTACTTCTCCAGCTCATTTTACAGATGAGGAAACTAAGGCAAACATGGTTAAATGACTTGCTTAGGGTCACACAGCTAGTAAATACCTGAGGCTGGACAGGCTCGTACTCTATCCAGTGTACTATCTAGCTGCCCATAGATGAATTAAGATGATTAATTTGACCTGTCTGGGACTTTTGTGAAATGAACTAGATTACTTCTAAGGTTGCTGCCATCTCTAGAAACAAAAATACCTTATGACCTGCTTAAACTAAAGGACTGGAATGTCAAACCAGATAATCATGGTGGGTTTAGGGCTGGAGGTGGGGTGATGATCTTCAAACAGTAATGTCAAAGCCATGCTGTGCTAACAGAGCCATTGGTACCATGTAAACATGTACCTGCCACCTTCAGGAACACACAGAGCAAATGCAAATCCAAAAGATTCATAGTGTAGTAGAAAGAGTGAAAGATTAGGAGTCAGAGGGTCTGAGTTCAAATCCCAGCTCTACCACTGATTTACTGTCTGATGTTGGACAAGTTCCTTAACTTCTCTGGGTCTTCTTTCATCTGTAAAATGAGGGAGGTGGAGCTAGAGGGCCACTCAGTTTTCCTTTGAGCTCAAAATCTCATTATCTTTTGCATGATGTCTCCTCCATATTCATCTCAGATAATGAGATTTTGAGTTAAGTTTCCAATGAGCTTTCATGGGCTTGTCTGGAAATCTCAATGCCATCTTAATGTGAATTCCCATGGAAAACCCATCAACAGTTGCAAACATTTCCTTACAAACGAACATTTAACATATAGCATTTTATGAGTATGGTGAATGTGGAAGAACCGTTTATGAAACCTGAGAGAACAGAGTGATAATCTTACCTTTGACACTAATTGGCAGAATCTGGACTTTAGAAAAATCCCTTCCACATTCCAGATGTCACTTTTTTCATTTAGAAAATGAAGGAGGGGCATCTAGGTGGTGCAATAGATAGAGCACCAGGCCTGGAGTCAGGAGGACCTGAGTTCAAATCCAGCCTCAGACACATAACACTCACTAGCTGTGTGATTCTGGCCAAGTCACTTAACCCCAATTGCCTCACCAAAAAAAAAAAAAAGAAAAGAAAAGAGCTGAAACATCTCATTTTTAAGTCTCTTCTAGCTTTAGAATCTCAAGAGATAGCTCAAGCTGTGGTATAGTTATTAATTTGCAGTCATTTTTTGGTAACATCTTCTTTTGAATCTCCTATATTAATAGGCTGTATTCATACAGAATTTTGTTGTTATGAAAGTAGTTATCCTACAGATTTATGACATGGGGAACAAGATTTATAACATCAGCAAGCTAGATGTAAAGACAGATTACCTAGTCCATCAGTTCTTTATCTGGATGTGGATAGCATTTTCCATCATGAGTCCTTTGTAATTGTCTTGGATCATTGTATTGTTGAGAAGAGCGAAGTCATTCATAGTTAATCATCACACAATGTTGCCGTTACTATGTACAATGTTTCCCTGATTCTGCTCATTTCACTTTGCATCAATTCATATAAATCTTTCCAGGTTTTTCTGAAATCTGTCTGCTCATCATTTCTTATTGCACAATAGTATTCCATTACACTCATATACCACAACTTGTTCAGCCATTCCCCAATTGATGGGCATCCACTCAATGCCACTATAAAATATACTACTGGTGTTGCTGGATCAAAGGGTGATTGGAGAGTATTCTAATTCTGCCATAACCACTAGGTAATCTGTCTTTACATCTAGCTTGCTGATGTTATAAATCTTGTTCCCCATGTCATAAATTTGTAGGATAACTACTTTCATAACAACAAAACTTCATTAGGCTCCTGCTATGTACCAGACACTGTGATCAACACTGAGGACAAAAATATAAATGCAGGTCAAATCATACTATTTTTACTTTGGGGTGTGTGTGTGTGTGTGTGTGTGTGTGTGTGTGTGTGTGTGTGTGTGTTTTCCTTTTTGGTCTATCTTCTTTCACAATTGTGACTAATATGGAAATATGTTTTACATGAATGCACATTTATAACTCATATCAAATTGCTTACCATTCTAGGAAAAGGAGGGAGAGAGGGAGGGAAAAATTTGGAACTCAAAATCTTGTAAAAATGAATTCTAAAAATTGTCTTTATGTATAATTGGAAAAAATACTATTTTAAAAAGGAAGAGAAAGAATACTATTCAATCCAACAAAACTTCATTAGGCTTCTACTATGTACCAGACACTGTGAGCAACACTGAGGACAAAAATACAAAAAAAAAAAAAAAAGGAAAAAGCAGCCACTCCTGCCCTCTGGGAAATTTATATTCTACTAGAGAGTGTGGGAATCTGGGAAGGCTTCCTGCAGAAGTCAGTACCTGAGCTTTGCCTTGAAGAAAAAGCAATTAATCAATCAATAAACATTTATTAAGTGCCTACTCTGTGCCAGGCACTGTGCTAAGTGCTGAGGCTTCCAAGAATCAGGACCTAAGGGGAAAAAAGTGCATTTCATACATGGGGAATGGATTGTGCAACTGGATGGAGGCAAGCTCTAGTGAGTTCAGGAAAAAACAAGTAGACCTGTCTGGTTGGAACACAGAATGCAAAAAGAATAGTAATGTGAAGAAAGGCTGAAAGAGAGATTGGAGCCATATGGAAGAAGGTCTTTAGTCCTTGGCTTGGGAGTTTATATTTTATTCTATATGAAGGCTTTTTAACCTGGTGTCTATTGATCCCTAGTAGATCCATGAATAGATTTTAGAGGGTCCATGAACTTGGATGGGAAAAAAAAATACATCTTTATTTTCACTGATCTGTAACAGAAATTTAGTATTTCCTTTAATTAAGCATTATTCTGAGAACATGTCTCAAGAGTTCAGCAGTTTGCCAAAGGGGTCCCTGAAATACAAAAAAGTTATGAACTTCTGCTCTATACGCAGCAGAGAGAGGCTGAGAATTGTTGAGCCAAGCAAGGAACAGGATAGGCAGAATTGAACTTCTTTAGTCATCCTAACCCCAAATTAACTTAACTCCTCTGTTTATATTTTCTTGTGCTTTTTTTCCCCCTAGCTGAACTCTTCCCAAGAGGTCAAGCACTTGGCAATAAGATATACAAGACCAGTGGTTTTGAAGGCAACTTTGATAAGGCAAAGAAATCATGCAAAGCAGCTGGTGGTATAGTGGCCTCCCCCAGAAATGAGTCAGAGAATAAAGCTGTACAGAAGATTGTCTTAGAATACAACAAGGCTCCCTTTCTTGGCATGACTGACATCCAGACAGAGGGCAAATTCATCTATCCAAAAGGAGACCCCCTGGACTATTCCAGCTGGGACCTAGGAGAGTCCAATAACAAGGGTGGTGGAGAGAAGTGCATTGAGATCTTTTCTGATGGCAAATGGAACGACAAGCTGCGTGAGGAGCACAGCTGATCGTTTGTGAATTTGGAGACTTGGTAGTTTGAGGGGGTGTAGTTTGTGTGGTGCGAGCTAAGGAGAGGACATGTTGCTGCTGGTTACAGGTGGGAAGGGGGAATATCAGGGGACCATACGAAATCATCAGGTAGAGGCCTATTTTACTGCTCCTAGCTAATAAATAAAAACAGCAATACTTTCTGCTAGCTACAGCTTCTCTAAATGTGACTCCAGTTAATTCCCCCAGGGCCTGAGATGGGAAGGTGAGATGGTATGGCAACCACCCAACCTGGGGCTCTAAATCTGCCTTCTTAAAAGTCTTCAAGGTGAGTCCTACCCTTTCAGTTCAACAGACCTTCATTAAATGCTATGTGGAGATCATTGTGCCAGGCTCTGCTCTTTTAAAAAAAAAATCACAATCTTACTTTCCTGAGACTTAAAATGAAGGACTAATGAAATGGAGCCCTTCTGAGATGTTTTCTCTCCCAATTAGAAAGTGGGTCACTTGAGGACAAGGACTGTCTTGTTTTTCTATTTGTATCTCTAGCATTTAGCACCTTGCTTGGTACATAGCATTTAATAAATGCATTATCATTCATTCAACTAAGCTTTTCATTCAGCAAGTGTCTACTTTGAATGTTTATTTTAACGAATCAATGAAAAGGCATTTATTAATTACTATCTTCCAAGCACCATGCTAATCACCAGGGATATGAGAAGAAAATAGAAGCTCACTGAGCTCACTTTCTAAAGGAAGAAGTCGAAACACACACCAGAGGATTCAGGGTTAGGATGGATGGGAGATCCTGGTGCTCTTAAGGATGTAGCAATAAAGCAGATGGCCAAATCAGCCTTAGATTCATTGATATGTCAGATGACAATGCCTGCGGGTCTAAAGTAGAGGTTCTAAATTTATGTGCTTTGTGTCATAGTCCCCTTGGCCATCTGGTAAAGCCTATGAATGCCTTAAAATGTTTTAAATGCATAAAATACATTAGAAGTATGAAGAAAAACAATTAAATTAAATTATCCAAATATTAAAAATACAAGTTTACAGTCCCCAAGTTAAGTAAGTCCAGGCTAGAGGACATGGGGACAGAGCACATGACTGAGCGCTGCTCCTCCAACCTCCAACCTCCACCTTTTCTTTGGGAGGGAACCAAGAGTCCTTGCGTTGGCAGGAAGCTTGGGAATTGACTGGTTGCGTACAGGGCACAAGAGAAGACCATGGGATTTCTGACCTCACCAAGCTCCCAGTCTCATTAAAGGAACATAATTTGTACTTGTTATTGTTTAATCGTTTCAACCGTGTCCAACTCTTTTGGACCCCATTTGGGTTTTTCTTGGCAAAGACACTGGAGTGGTTTGCCATATCATTCTCTAGCTCATTTTACAAATGGGGAAACCGAGGCAATAGGGTTAAGTGACTTGCCCAGGGTCACACATTTGTAAGTGTCTGAGGCTAGATTTTAACTCAAGAAGATGAATCTTCCTGACTTCAGGCTCAGCACTCTATCCTCTAAGCAGTTTAAAAAATAAAAGTGTTTTCCCCAGTAAATGTGTGATTAAGTGCTGAACTGTAAGTCATATGTGTATGAGCACTCAGTGCTTTGAGCACCAGCATCTTTGAAAAGCCTTGCTCACTCCCCTGAGCTATTAGTGCTTTCTTCCTCTCTCAAATTACTTTGAGAAGGCTTCACCCCTCCCTGAGTTATTGGTGCTTTTCACCTCTCCCAAATTTCTTGGAATTTACTTATCTGCCTATATTGGATTCTTGATTTAGAGATGGAATGGAGGTTAGGGATCATCTAGTCCAATATCCTCATTTTATAGGTACGGAAACTTATGCTCGAAAAGGAGAAGTAATTGTCCAAAGTCATACAGTTAGAGAGGCAAAAGGCTGAGATTTGAACTGAAGTCCCATGACACCCAGGTCTACTCTCTACACCCTGTACCACAGTGTTTCCTCAATGTTTTATATCCCTAGGAGAATGGAACTTCCTTAATCTCCTAGAAGGTTTAACATTCTGATTCAATGAAACATGCAAAAGAAAAGCTAACAGAGTTGCAGGAAAAGATGGGAAAGAATTTCAACCAGATTTTAGTTTGGAAAAAGTGAAAAGTTGGGACATGAGGTAGAGACACTAAAATCCATGTTGCCAAGAAGCATAGATTGATTTCTGTTTGATGACAAGGGAAAGAGTGAAGTAATACTTTTTATGATGTGCAAAAAAGTTTACCATCAAATGGCAAGATGATAGAATGCCACATCTCCAAGTACCAAAGCCTCAGAATGGTCAAACAAAAGTAAGTGTGATTTTATAGAAAAGATCATGTTCTTAGAGCAAGTCACATAACTTCTCTGGGCCTCAGTTTCCTCATCGATAAAATTAGAAGAATGTACTGGATGGTCTCTAAGGTACTTTAGCTGGTGAAGTAGAATGAAATCTAGGGGCCTGCGATCCCATATTTGGGATCAAAAAACTTGATGGCTCTATCAGTTACTATCTGTGCCAATCAGTCCACTTGTGATATACTGGATTAAGCATTGGAGATACAAAAAAAAAAGAAAGAAAGAAAAAGTTCCTACCTTTGAGAAGCTTCCATTCTAATGGGGAAAACAACATGTAAATGATACATACAAGTTATAACCAGAGTAAATGAAAGCTAGTCTGAGAGGGGAAGGAATTGACAGCTAGAATGCAGTGGAAATGGGAGTGGGGGAAGGCAGAGGCTGGGAAAGATTTTCTGTAGAAATAGGATTTTAATTTAGTCTTGAAGGAACTATGGAAATTAAGAGATAGAAGTGAGAGGGCATAGTATTCTATGAGTGGAGTACAGCCAGTGCAAAGGTTTGGAGGGAGAAAAAGGTGTGAGATCTTGATCAAGTTACTATGAGCTGTAGGATCACAGATTTTTAGTTAGAAGGGCCATTACAGCATGTCGAGTCCTTTGGGCCTCACTGCTAGCACCTGAAAATGAGGGTTATAAAAGAAATCCTACTTCTATCTCTAAATGTATGGTCATGTCATCCTATGATGACTATTGTCATGGAACCCTGAAGACTTAAAATACTAGTCATAAAATATTGTTTGGTAAGTCCAGCATGAAGAACAGATATTATTTTGAATATAAATTCATAGACAAGAATAGTTTTTGTGGACTATGTGTATATGACTTTGTGAAGTGGAGTAAAGATACTTCATCCAATTAATTAATCCCTAAATCCCCATTTTGAGAAAGAAAAAATAGACCTGCTGTCCTGAATTGTGCAGACTGCCTACACAGAGCACATACATCTGGCCCACATTCAGTCACATCCCCTTCATTTAGCCATTAACAACATAGCCTGAAAGCAGAGAAATTGCTCCCAGATTCTGATGCTGTTGCTGCAGGTGATGGCACAAAAGTAGCCATGGTTGCCCTATCTTGTTTCACAGAAAGTAGACAGAATCTGATTCACAGTAGGCCAGATGGTTCACACTGTATCCCAGATTTCATCTATAAGGGATGGCACCCAGAGACAGAACACAGCATCCATACGTGACCCTGAATTTATTATCCAACTTCCTTTCTGAGAATGATCTGAGACCTTTGTTTCCTGACATCACTGGTTGTTGGTTGCTCAGTGAGGATGAGAGAGCCCAGCCACATTCCAGCTGCTGCTGTTGACATCTGGCGTTTCTCTGGGTAGAGAACTCTGAGATCTTAAAACAGGCAGTTGAAGGGCAGGAAGTTAACTCCTGTCAGAATAAAAGACAAGCATGGAAAAAACCAACCAAAGACCAATACCACCTTGTTAGGAGGACCCCAGAAGCCACAAGGTACAGGTGGTCCTACAAGTGCATCCCATCTTTCAACAATTTCTCACACATATCATTCCCCTGATCCATCTAGCTTAAACCTGCTTTAATAAGGACAATCATCAACAGGACAGTGGTGACAATCTTGGTAAGAAGATTAAAGGAAGATGTTTGTCATTATGTTTAGTGTCCATGGTCAGTTCTTTGAAAATTGATCAGAATAGAAGGAGACTCACTAAAGGGAGAGACAGAATGAGATCTGACATGACCAGGGGACTGGGCAAGACTGACACTTTAAGGGGTGGGCCAGTAGGTGGAGACAGAAGGACAGAAAGCTGGGAGATTTTGCCACAATATTTACCTTTGCAGGTGCTAGAGACAAAGAGCTAGTTCTTAGGACATCTAGAGAAAACAGGAACTTGGACATCTGAAAAATGGAAAGCAACACAAAATATGGAAACTTTTTTAATGTAAGTTGTTCTAAGTGATCAAAGATTGTCAACAAGGATGATGACAAAGGGAGAAAGCAAAGAAAGGAAAGGAGGCAAGCTGATTGATGACCATTGCTCAGGGGTCCTAGTCAAGAAAGGGGGAAGTCAATGGAAAGTATGTCAAGTTCTTCAACTAGGAAATAAATATGGTAAGTGTTTACCTTTAAACATTTGATAATGTTTTTAAAACAGTTTGGTACTGGTAGAAAGTACAGAAATTGATTGATGGAACAGATTAGTTAAACCATACAAAGAAACAAAAGAGCAGAGCAACATAATGTTGGATAAACCCCCAAACCCCAGACACTGAGGTCAGGACTTATTAGTTCACAAACACTGGAAAGCAGTTTGCAGAAATTAGTATAGATCACATCATAAACCAAGATAAAATTCCAAATGGATACATAACTTGGGCATAAAAAAATAACATCATAAAAAATTGGAAGAAATTGCCTTTTGGATCTAGGGGCAGGGGAAGAGTTTGTGACTAAACAAGGGATAAAGAGGATCACAGAAAATAAAATGGACAGTTTTTGTTACATAAAATTGAGAAGTTTTTGCACAAACAAGTCTAACGCAGTTAAAATTAGAAGGAAATGAAACTGGGAAAAATCACTATAAAAGGTTTCTCTGATAAAGATCTCATAAACAAGATATATAAGGAACTGATTGAAATTCATGACTAAGTCACTCCCCAACAGATAAATAGTCAAAGGATACAAATAGGTAGTTTTCAAAGAAAGAAATCCAAGGTATTAACACCCATAAGGAAAAAAAATCCCCCAAATCATCAGTAATTACAGAAATTCAAATTAATTCAATTCTGA